AGAGTTTAGGGTTTAGGGTTTGCCGTGGAACATCTTGCGACAAGGCCCTATGCTCCATACATCCCCTGGCCGAAGCCCCAAACCCCTAAAGCCTTCGAGCCTCGAGATGACGCCCTAAGCCTGAGTTCTTTGTTAAAAACTGACCTCGGGTCAATCCTAAGTTGGAGGCGTGGCATCCCGTCGGGGGTCCGAGTTTCAGGGTCTTCTTAGAGACCGAAGGGTTAAGGCTTAGGCGTGAGAGACCGGACTCTTGCTTCTGCCTGTGCCACATCCATGGACAGTTACGTCATTACGTAGTATGGTCCACTGCGTGCTGACGCTCAACGATCAAGTATTTCTTGCGGCATGCGGGCATCGATTCATCGGCGGCTATTGGTTTCGGAAAAGTGCACGCGTTGGGGCTTTGCGTTTCGAGCTCGCAAACCACTTCCCAACAGTCTAGCGGTCTAGCGCTCACGGAAGCCGAAGGGCTTGCAGTTCTTTTGCAACATCATCGAAGTTTGCCCTTCAACCATCAATATGGCACTTGAAACGCCATCTTACACTAGCCCTTGACAATGAGCCTCTACATGGGAGTGCCGATTCAGATAAGGACCCTTCGTACATACAGACCCCGAGTGGTACTCCGTAGGATTCTTATTTAAAAAGCCACCCCCTAACAAGGTGCCCAGTGCAAAACTTCGAAAACCGCGATAAGGCGCTAGAAACCATCTGCAAACCCTAGAAAATCGTAGAAAGTGTTTGAACAGGCCTTAATTTCAAGAAGCCCTCGCTACGCTGGAGGTGGCCTCGAGCATCTCGTGCTCCTGTTTGGCGGCTGCCAAGTCTACCAGCCTAGGCGGGTGGAGCGCTCCAGGGACGGGTTGGGGTCCGTTCAGGGTTTTCGGTTCCCGCTTGGCACTGATGGAAGTTGGGTGATCAAGAAGTCAACAAGACGACTCAACCATTATTCTGCCAATCCGCAGGATACACATCAGAATAACACAGCACACACAGGGCTACACTGAGCCAATGCCAGTCACTTTGGACCACTTTCCTCTTTATCTATCCCTAAACCCTAAACCCTAAATCTCATGACTCCTCCTCCCTTCTCAGTCTTCGGTCACACCTAAGCCAGCCGTTCGAGCAACACGGCAAGTCGGGGCCAGCCAGTCATATCCGTTCCATTGCCAAACTCCCCACAGAACAAAGGCTGCCGTCCTTCTAGCTAATCTAGAGAACTACCCATCTGCCAATCTCTGTGTAAAAACACAGGGACAGGTTCCAGCTTCCCATTTGTTCATGTCAGGGCCTTGACAAGTGGAATAGGATTTGAGGGCCTGTTCTACTATGATTATAAGAGAAGGAGAACTAGAAGGGGATACTGTTTAAGTTGCCTGATTGCCTCGCACGCTCGGCTTTCTGCCTCCCTGTTGGCCAGTCTCCATGGGCAGGCTGGTCTACACATCTACATGGAGCAACTTTTGGATTACGTCTCAGGGCTCAGGATTCAAACTTTCAGGCCGAAAGAGATCGAGTGCATCCGGTGACGATGTGGATTCAAGGCTTGAGGCTTGGCTTTCTTCATGCTTCGGAGATTGGAGTCAGTAGAGTCGAGGGATGAGATAACGCGCGTCCGGCAGGGGATCCGGGTCCGTTTGACGCAGGAACCTGCAGGAGCATCAGCATCTTGGAGGTTCATGGGTGGTTATATGTAGGGTTATAAGTCCCCTAATATGGTATATAAGTATAGTTACTCCTACTTATAACAACCCTACTCATAACTATTGCCGTGAACCTCCAAGACGCATGTGCAAGCTGGCATGTAGCTCTGGCTTGTCCTCCCCATCTCTATCTCCAAAGGCACTTGTTGTTGAGAGCTCGCGTGAGCTTACAGCACAATCGAACACTGATGCCCTGCAGTCGCGAAGCCGCAAGATCTTTCAGATATGAATCAAATACCACTATTATTGGTGTTATTGTTGTTCTAGGACCTGTCAGGCAAATTTCTGGCCACCATTGGCGCCCCCAATGGGTTAATGGATCGACTGCTTGGATTCCGAGCGGTACCCTTCTGGTAGCCCTTAAAGAACCCAATCATCTGTCCACTCTAAACCCCAAACCCTAAACCTTTGCTCTTGCATTGATGCGCGAGGCTGCTTCCGAGTCCCCTGCTCCCGGCTCTCATCCTCTAGCTCCCGGCATCTCGTCTGCAGCCTTGGAACTAATTAATCTACTACAACGTACTAGGATGTACAGGTACTGTAACATACTATAATGTACTCCAATGTCTCGTCTGCAGCTTTAGCCGGTGCATCGGCAGATTCTCAAGTCTTCTACGCTGGGGCCAGCACGCTCTAAGTAGGAGTGGGGGGTTCTTTGGGCCAAATTGGGCCAAAGCTAGAACACATTCTGGAGGGGTGTATCTCTCGACGAAGTGCCCGATCAGCCCATACGCGAGGAGGGACCACGAACACCCACATCAAACATAGGGATCAAAGGCATGAATGACTGACCTGTTTCTGGAAGGCTTGCCTGTGCTTGGCCTCTGGGTGGATGCTGAGTCACAGGCATGTCGACTAGCTCCTCGAGTGCCGAGATGTTCCTTCGGGTTCAAGGTTTACGCTCTCACAACTCAGACTTGCCAGATGAGATCTCAAGGTCTAGTGCAGGACGACCAGTGAGTAGCGAGCAACAACCATGAGCCGCCACTTAAACGAGCACATCATGCCCTTGCTAAAAGCCTGTGTTGCTACAGTCTTTGCACAAGGTCAGCTGCCTGCAATCACAAGGAGCCACTATGCCAGTACTGTCCAACTTCAAACCCGGGAACACCTGAGAAATTCCAATAGGCGACGGAAGCAACGTGGAACCTTTTGCTTTCCTCCCTAGAGGCTCCATCTTGAAAACGCGCGTACCCAGGGGAGCTGCCCTAGCCGCCGGCCATGTTTACGAAGGCAGTCCGGGGACTTCCTCATCATCTGTTTCTGCACTCAGCAGCCACGCTCGGATTCCATCCTCACCATCCTGCTGGTCGCGGGCGTCGACGGCTTTATCCCAGGCGCAGCGGATCGTCCGGCAGCAGGCTTTGTACGTGGTGCCACCTTTTTGCATCTTGGCGACCTTCTGGTAGTTTGGCCTGCCACGGGAACATTTCGCAGTTCCTGCTCCGAGGACGATGCAGCTCGACATGCAATGCTGATGGCTAATGTCGGGCTCCTTTCGCCTCTCCTTTTCGTTCCAAGAGCCCGAAAAAATCTTCCAGGTCACGTTCTCCCCTCCCGGGTGCAAGGGCATCTCCATAGTCGGCTTCCCACAGACGGTGTCGCAGGTATTCTCGCGCTGCCACTTTTCCATCTTGGTCATGAAAGTCGGGAGGTGTTCCTTGACGTACTCAATGGAGGGAAGCTTTTTGCACTGCTGCTGCAGATCATCTTTGCTCCTTGCATAGGGGTGGTGGATCAGAGCTTTCTGCTGCAAAGCCATGCGCTCGTACTTCGGGTACTCGGGGTACGGAATCTGGAGTTGGTACGGCTCATTGAACTTGCCGTTCTCAATCTTGAAGACATCGCCGGGGTGGAAGTCACCGGGAAGAAGCTGTCGCGCACCGGATATGTCCTGGCTTGTGACGCTTCCGTCCCTGTTCATCTGCAGCTCGCCATCCCAGATCATCGCCATCAGGGCAGCAAACTGGGAGCAAAACATGTTCTTGAACTTTTCTGTCACCTCGCGGGTAGACTTTGTCCACGCGCGGTAGAACTTTCCCAGAACCGATTCACTCGTGGTGAACATCTTCAGGTAGGCCACTCTGCGAGAATGAAAGCAGGCGGACATCGTAAGAAGCTGATCCATTTCAGCATCGTCCAACTTCTGCTTCCTCGGTTTGATATAGACGCGGAGGCTTGCCGGCCAACCATGAGTCAACTTGTGGTACATGTCGACGTAGTGAAAGCCCTTCTTCCATTCGGTAGTTTCCATATCCTCCATGACGTGGTTGCTCACCTCCAGCATCCCGAGGACCGAAGTCGCACCGTCAAATTCCGGGATGTAATGCAGCGAACCGTCTCTACCTGGTTTGGACCAAACAGCCATCCCGACGTGCATCACACCGGCTCCGGTAAAAGACATCTGGATCTGGGAAACAATGTCGGTGGAGAAAAGGAAGACCAAGTCTCCAGTTTTCAATTGGCGGTATCCCCGCGCAGGGTCGTCCCAGTAAACGCAAGTTGAATTCTGGCATGAATCGACGAACCTGTCTCTCGGGATAGCATCATCCTGTGTGCGGACACCCTGGGCGACAGCCAGCAAAGCGATGGCCAAAATCATGGATGTAGCTCTCATGTGTTGGAAAGACAACGGTAGCGAGAGGCCTTTGAATTGTAAGTCCTTGTCCAATCTGAGCCACATTCGTAGCCATTTCGGGTTTAGGGTTTTCGGACGATCACAGCTTGCCAATGCTTTCTCGCTTCGATGCAGCCTCGATGCCAATATGCTATGAGAGACTGATATTACAATGACAAACATTTGGCTTATTCACTCGTTACCCCTGCAATGGAAGCTGTCCTTGGCCTCTGTCCCCGACGAACCTGGCAAAAAATGCCTGACCCTGTCCAGAACCTGTGGACACAGGCCCCGGATTTCAAAACGTGATGTGCAGCGTAGGCAGCCTTTGGAGAAACACGCCTACGCAATGCAAAGACCAGATTCATGCTGCCTGGGCATATTTCTTGATAAGAGCACAAACAGTCCAGAAACAAACACTGCTGCCACTTTGCATAGCACTTAGTGCATTTCCTACATGCCACGAACGACGTCCTCTGCCCCTGCTGCACTTCCCAGCGCAGGCTAGCAAGCTCCTAGCAGCAGAATGATCGGTGACTACACAACAGTTCGGGCCTGCGACGAGTGCTGACTACCTGACCTGACTCGGGGCTGCAAGAGCGGTGGGGGCTTCCCAGTCCGGAGGCAACTCGAAGCGCGAAGATATAAAGGCCTCCACAATCTTGGGGCTCGTCGGTGATGTCGGCTCTTTTGTCCTGGACCTGTGTGTTCTTGTTGCAGAAGGGGTGTGCAGGCCCCTAGGAGGCTGCTGCCTTGAAGCCCAAACCCTGAGCCCTACCAAAACTGAAACTACACATCGCTACATCCAATGATGCAACCTGAACATCCCCAACCCTGAATTACTCATTTCTTGGCCAAGACATACATATAAACATGCATATGCAGTCATGCTTTGTGCATATCCGATTACGCAAATGGTACTTTGCACAGACCTATGCCAACAAGTGATAATTGCAAAGTTTGCCTAAACCCCTAAATCCTAAACCCTGCTGGCTCAGACTCTGCTTCAGAGAGGCAGCTTTGGATTTTCCGGTTGAGGCTTGGGCCTTGGGGGTTTATGATAGAATCTAAGGCAGAGCAGAAGTCAACCTGCTGCTGCTGCAACTTGAAGCCTGACCCTGCGCGCTGCACTCTGAGCTCTGATACAGCAAAGCCTGCAAACTCGAAACTCGTCCTCCTGAGTCGAAGTCCCGGAGCCCAAACGCCACCGAATGGAACGGCCCACGAGCCTCACCGACTCGGTGGCTTCGTTCTCTTCCAGCGTCTCCTCCTCCTCTTCCTCGTCATCCTTTTGACGGAGCTGGGAGTGTGGAGAATCAAGCCGGGCATTGCTTAGTTACGGTGGTGCGATGTGGCGGCCTGCATTGAGAGGAGTTCGGCGCTGTTGAGTGTTAGGTGGTTGAGGGTATGAGCACAGGCACACTGCCAAACTTGTCCCTGCTCCACACACCAGAATGCGGGGGTCAAAACAATGTCTCCAACTGAGCCCTTGCTCCACAAAAACCCATGTTCCGCTACACATCTCGCCGAACAGTTGTCCGCAACAGAAGGGCTCGATTCTAGACTTGAAATCACGTTAAAGTTGACCACATTCGAATCCAGAAACGATGTGCTAGGCCTCTTCAATCATTCAATCAATGCTCAACCCTGTGAAAACTCTACAGAAAGAGCCGAACTGTTGAAAACATGAACCCTGAAGACTGCCGCCCTCAAGCTGAACTCTCAAGCTTAAGGCAAACACTGATGGATCCGTAGAAATACAATTAGGGAGGTGCAAAGAGAATACAACGTTGACACCAATAACAAAAAGACTAACCATGCCTCTGAAGATGCTTCTCGTAAAGACTATTTACTATCACCAAAAGCAAAACACCACTAGCTAACAACTCTTTTCCAGTCTACATACTGGCGCAATACTGCCTGGGCCTAGACAGTACAGAGGCCGTTAACCTGTCCAGCGCCGACGCTTTCGGAAGACAGAAGCGCGAGCACTCGTCTCGGTGCTGTAGGACCACACAGAATGTACACACAAATGCTTCGTACAGAAAGTACAGGTGTGTATATATATATATATCTATATATATATATATATACATGTCTGTGTGTGCGTTGTATGTGTACGTATATGCATACGCCCGCACATAGAGATATACATATACATATCAATATACATATACATAAGATGTCATACGTGAAAGCCCCGTCCCGGCCTCCTCAGGGGGCGCGAGGCTCCGGAGGACCTCCGGCGGCGGAGGGCCGGTCAAACCCACTGCCTGGAGAAGCTTACGGATGCTTAGGGTTCTGGGTTTAGGTTTTCGGCTTTAGGGTTTCTTGGGTTATTGTAGGGTTGAAGGCTTTATGGTTTAGGGCTTGGGTGCGCATGTTTGTAGATGTTTGTCAGGGTGTAGGGTTTTAGGATTTAGGGGTTCGGGTTTGTAGGGTTTGGTGGTTTGGCTTCGGGTTGTGCAGGGTTGTTCTGGCAACTTTTCCCTGGTCTACATGTGCTCACCAATCAACCCCGTGGCTTGGTAGGTGTGTATTTGTTATGCTATGTATATATACATATATATACATATATATACATATATATGTATATATGTGTGTGTATGTATGTATGTACGTACGTACGTACGTACGTACGTACGTATGTACGTACGTATGTAAGTAAGTTTGTACGTATGTATGTATGTATGTATGTATGTATGTACGTATGTATGTATGTATTAATGGTATGTATGTATGTATGTATGTATGTGTGTATGTATGTGTGTATGTATGTGTGTATGTGTGTGTGTGTGCGTGTGTTTGTTTGTTTGTCTGTTTGTTTGTTTGTTCGTTTGTTCGTTTGTTCGTTTGCTCGTTTGCTCGTTTGTTGGTTTGTTTGTGTGCTTGTGTGTTTGTTTGCTTGTTTGTTGGTTTGTTTGTTCGTTTGTTTGTTTGTGTTTTATGCATGCAAATGTTGTTTTATTGCTGCCTGAGCGAATCGGCATAGCGTATGCAGGTGGCCGCATGCTCAGGGGAGGCAAGGTTGGCAACAAGATAAGATAACATGCTCTATCTCCTGCTTTGCCCACAACTGCTGAACCAAGGTCTGTACAAAACCTACGGCAAGCGCAGGTCCCCATTCTTGTAGTGTGAGGAGCAGGCTCACTCAAGCGTGTCCTGCTCCGCAGGAAGCAAACAGCCGCCTCAAAAGAATTGCATCCCTCAAAACATTTATGAACGCCACACTGACTCGGTGGCAAAGTACAAGCCTTGCGCCACCAGCTGGCCAGCCTTGTCCTTGTCTGAGGCCGCTCCACGCATGACTTCCTTGGCCTTCGCTAAAAATCCGGGATGCAGCAGCACCGGTCCCCGCTGTCTCATGAGATCTCTTTTCGCTGCGTTGCCCTCATTGTGCATGAGAACAGCGCATAACAAGCCCATTTGCAAGAGGCCAACGTATGCCCAGCAGTGCATCTCCAGGAGGAAAGTATCGATGTCGTCGGCTGTCGAGCTAGACCCGGACGCTTCCAAGTAGGCACGGACAAACTGCTGCTGCGAACCAACGTCGAGGATTGCGTCAGGACTGAACCCGCAACGAAACCTCGGTCAGGAAATTGATACGGCTCCCAGTCGCGACTAAGCAATGATCCGAGCACCCCTATATTTCTGTGTGCGGCCCGAGCTCGGCATGTCTCATCTTACGGCCTACATGTAGCTACCCCCAACTCCTTGCAAGCGAAGCTGCAGCATGAGAACAATGTAAGCCAGGTCGGCACCCGCAGGTCCCACTGCAGTCATGTCAAAGTCAATGAGCCGCAACTCGCCCCGGTGCCACATGATGTTGCCTAGATGTGCATCGCCGTGAACGCAGACCTCAGTTGTTCTGGACACTTTCAGAGCTGCTGCACTGCAACTTCCCTGCGCTCATTGTGGAAACCCGTCGCAGCCCTCCGCATGTGCCACAACAAAAAATAAACGAAGACCCAAATCAAGCACACGAGGTTTATAGGGTTTAGGGTATACTGTTCCTTGCATTAAGCATTTTGTGACAAGGCAATCCGGCAAGTCATCAAATCCAAGCCAAGCTGCGCTGCGGGACGTTAAGCCCTTTGTTGGAAGCTCCGGACAAACGGGCAAAGACTTGACTTCAGCAGCAATGTAGTCCCAATTCACGCCTGAGGATTCTCAAGCTCCCTCCCGAATTCCTCCGACTGTCCATGTCGGCAACAAAAAGACTGAACCCTTTACCAGCATCTACCCATTATCCGGGCCCTTAACCCTCTTAAATTACAGCCAAACCTGTCGAATCACGCGCCTAGCGCAGCCAACTCCAACTTGTTCCTCTCGGGCACCAGACCTCAGCTTGTCATGTGGGTAGTTCTCTAAATTATGGTCCCTTCTTAGATGCCCAATATAGTACGGCACCCTTATAAAACGGACCCCAAAAGGACCCTATTCTTGAGAACTACCCATGTGGCTTTCTGGGTTTCGGTTTGGCGGTCCACAACGGTCTCTGCGGTTAAGCGGCTTAGGGCTCAGGGGTCTCGTGCTTAGGGCCTGGAAGCTCGCGGGGGTTGAGGGTGTTGATTCTGGAAAGCAGCAGTTGGGGTAGGAAACGCTAGGTTTTCTCGACAGGCTGCTTGAAACTTTGCCAAACGAATCGGAACAAAACCAACGTTACAAGTTGAGAACAAACTGCTGGACCTGGCACCTGGGGCTGAAAGCTAATGAGACATGCGCTATAACTGCTACAAATACAAATCTTGCATAGTATTGGGCGGCGAAATCTGCAGCCAAAGCACCAAGCAAACGTGGGAGAACCCACAAGCAGAACGCCCAATCGCTTTCGTGCTTAGCGAGTACTCCGTCTGCAAGCAGTTTCTCACAAACAGGCTGGAACCATGAAACGTCAGCTTTGTGCAGCCGTGCGTACAACGATCCAACCATTGCCAGGGTTTCACTGGTCAAGTCCTCTGTTTTTAATGTGCCGCCATCAAAGAATTCGTTCACTAACAAGATATGGCTTCCGTGGACCAGAGTGCCGATATGGTGCGGACCCAAACCAGACAGAGCTTCTTCAGCGAGAGTTTTGCTGTACAAATCTGTTCCGGACCAGGATGGGATGCTGACCACAACCTTGTGCCGCCCATCATCGGCGAAATACACTTGATGCCACTCTGTTTCGTGGCTGGGTGTCAGATGCAACTCACCAAGCGAATCTGCAAAAAACGCAACGTTTTTGGCCAGTACATCTGCGATACTTGCGACATCCATGGTGGCTCGAGTGGCGGGAAAGTTTTGGGGTGCCTGTAATGTTCGTAGTCCAGTACGGCAACATGAAACATATCATTACATCGTGCCCAGCATGGTACGTCGTGGATTGCATCGCTGGTGCCAGAGCTTGTGTCTTCAAAATTCTTCAACCCAAGCGTCAACACAGCATATGACGTCCAGATCCTAGAAGCGAAGTTGCCGAATACAAGGATCCCACACTTCCACAAATCTGGGAGTTTCCGAAACTAAGGGGCACCCTCTTTGCGGGTCCTTATAATAAGGATCCTAGTATTTAAAGTGCTACATTATGGTCCCCTATTTTGGGAAACTTCCATCTAAACGTCCAAAGTAGTTGACATCGGCGCCTCGCGGAGCTGGCACAACCACCACAGCCTCGGCGGACTTTAAAGTTGGAGGATGTTGAAGGTTTCGGATGGTTTCGGGTTTGGAGCGTAACGGTTTAACCCTAAGACTTGATTTCTGCTCAAGTGTTTCACATGCCACGGCGAGGCCAAGCCACGAAATTTAATGGTCGATGTCAGGAGTCAGGATAGCCACAAACCCTGAAACCCTCAGCCTACACCCTCAACCCGGAACCCAAAGCAATGCGTCGACTTTTGCACGGAAATGACATCCTGAGCCCGGGACTGTTTGGCTGCCGAGTCGCCTTCCTCACAAGTCTCACTGGCTAACATAGTTATCTGCTTGCTGTCGCTAGTTGCATTTATCATCCTAATGACATTGTATTATAATTTATAATTACGTACTTTGTGTCTCTATTACTATCAATATCTGTCTATCGCATAAAAATGTACCATTTGCCCCCAGGCCCTACTCTGAATATTCGAACGCCTGCACTGGCTCGTGTCAAATCAACACTACACGTCCGCGCAATGGAGGCCTGCGCATCTGCCATTGCTGACAAACCAAATCGGTCGACGTACTCATTGGTGGGTTCGTTCCATACGGTGGCGCACTTGCAGGTGACAGTGCGGCCCCAAAAACCAATAGAACGACTTGGCTTTGGTGGGTTGAGTTGTAATCTGATTCGGCTTGTTGATGTTCAAGTTTGAACCGTTTGTCTCCTTGCTTGTGTAAACTGTTGGGCCTAAGCCTACCACATGAAAGATTTTTGACCGCTTCATCCAGTCTTGTATATGGCAAGCGGGTCTTGATCCACCATGTCGGCAAATCATCTTGTATATGGCAAGCGGGTCTTGATCCACCATGTCGGCAAATCATCCGGGCACGGATATTTGACAGCGTGACAATGTCCGAAGCAGCGCAATGATGTCGCGCAAATAGTGCGGAGAACACTTCCCTAAATGGCAAGGGTGGCAACGCAGTGGCCGCAGTGCCGGGGCCACTGTGGACAAGCACGTGTTCGAGACGCGGTTCGTTGACGTAGAATCTGCATCTCGGGTATTGCTGCTGTCCCGAAGTGGCGCCGGTGCTGAGAATCTGTCTTGCCGGCCAGGCGCTGCTCCGGGGGCTCCGTCTCGCACGAGATGCAGAAACCCTAGGCAAAATTAGTGGTGGGGAAACCCTGCACCCCAAAAAAAAAATGTTGGTTAACCCAAAGCCGACAAAGAAGCTGCTACTGACAAACCCCCAAACCCTACAGTAACAGGAGATGCTGAAACCTTCCAAAAAATAGTTGGGAAACTCCAAGCCGAAAAGAGATGTTGGTTGACCCAAAGCCGGCAAAGAAGCTGCAGCAGCTGCTGCTGCTGGTGTTGTTGTTGCTGCTGACACGTCTGGTGTTGTTAGTGGTGGTGCTGCTGCGATGCGGCTAGTCTTGTTGTTGGTGGTGGTGATGCTGCTGCTCTTGTTGGTGGTGGTTCTGCTGCAGCTGCTGACACGTCTGGTGTTGTTGGTGGTGGTGCTGCTGCTGGTGCTGGTGCTGGTGCTGGTGCTGCTGGTGCTGGTGCTGGTGCTGGTGGTGTTGGTGTT